AAAAAAAAAAAGTCTTATATCTTCATTCCCCTGCTTTAAACCTTTCACAATGCAGTAGCTCCTACTGTGTTCGAATAAAGTCAAAGCCATTCAAAATAGGTCTTGGCCTGGAGCCCCTGGGTGGCACAGTCGGTTAAGTGCTCGACTCTTGATTTTGGCTTAAGTCCTGACCTCAGGGTTGCGAGACTGGGCCCTACGTAGGGCGCCACGCTCAGCGGGGAGTCTGTTAAAGTTTCCCTCCCCCTCTCCCTCTGCCCCTCTCTGCACCTGCTCATGCTCTCGCAGGCTCTCTCTCCCTCGCTTGCTCTAAAATAAATAAATCTTTAAAAAAAAAAAAAAAAGGACTAGGTCTCAGCTTACCTTCTTTTGCCACACTTTGCACCTGCTCCCCACGCCCTTCCTTACTTCAGGTACCAGCCAAGAGAACCTGTCAGGCTCCATCCTAAAGGCACAATGCCCACTCTCGCCTGCAGGTGCTCGCATAGGTTATCCCTTCTGCCTAGCTCCCCACCCCCCACAAATTCTCATCTGAGCAATACCTATTCGATAGTCAGATTTCAGCTTAAAATACCAAATCCCCTATGAGCCCCTGAGGTCAGCGCTGAGTCAGGCACCTTGTGCTCTTACACAAAGCTCTACACATGACCTCTCATAGAATATTGCAACTGCCTACCCCCTCATCTATAACCCCTCTGGGAGACTGCAGACTGCAAGCTAGGGGCTGCTCAACTAGAAACCGTGGCCCTTAGGGGCCTATCCAGTGTCTGGCATATAGTAAGAACTCAACAAAGACAACATGATTAAAACAATCACTAAAACTTAAAATTAGGTAAGGGGAACCTGGGTGGCTCAGTCGGTTAAGCATCCAACTCTTAGCTCAGGTCTTGATCTCAGGGTACCAGGTTTAAGCCCCATACTGGGCTCCATGCTGGGTCCGGAACCAACTTTAAAAAAAAAAAAAATTAAAATTGTGTAACTAAATGGGATAAGGGTCTGCCTGAGCATTACCATGGCTCCTTTAAGACTGAAATCACAGAAATACACTAATTAAACCACTTCAAGGGAACTTTCTTGAAAATAATCAACTTGTGTTTTGTTGAAATACTTCAGAATCCCCCAAACCAGGATAAAATTCAGGCTGCTACCTTTTTTTCTGCTGCCCGTACACATACATGCAACAATTCAAAAGGGTAAAGAAAATACATGCAATTATTGAAAAGGTACTAAAATCTTGATATTTATCCTAGTAATCTAATGCAATTGTGATATACGAACAAAAATTTCTTGAGGAAACAGAAGTACCAACCTTATTTAAAATAAATAAGGATGTCTTTATGCCCTATCTTCTTCTCAAATAAACCAGATGACAAAAATACATACAACACAAGTAAATAAAAAAATTTAAAGTCAAGAAATCTCAACAGAAAAAAAGCACCAGAGTAGAAGATAAATTTAGAAATGAGGCTGGGACACAAACTATATGCTTCACGGTTCTGCATATTTGCAAATGAGGGGTCCAAAATGTGGCTCTCTGTTTATTGGTGATCACACTGCGTCACGTAAATACCAATAGCCTTGTCTTGCCACACCTTATAGATGACATTTCTCACATCTTCTATCTGTACCATCTTTCTTCGGATACTTCTAAAATCTCATGCTCACGGGTTTTTTGGGGGCCGGGGTTTAGACTTTTTTATTTATTCATTTGACAGAGACAGCACAAGCAGGGGGGAGGGGCAGAGGAGAGTGAGAAGCAGACCCCTTGCTAAGCAGGGAGCCTGACACAGGGCTCGATCCCAGGACCTTGGGATCATGACCTGAGCCGAAGGCAGATGCTTAACTGACTGAGCCACCCAGGTGCCTCTCATGCTCATAGTTTTAATTATTCAACTCTTCAATTTAGATGTTTTTCTTTTAAAAAAATATCCACAGCAAACACTCTCTAGGATCATATTTCCTTTCCAGTGACAAGCTCATAACTGCCGTCTTCCTGCCAGGGTGTGGCTCATGATCCTAAGGCGGCAATGCCATACTTGTCACAGAAAGTAATGCCAAACTGCTTCTTCTTAAGTATATTTTACATCAGACCAGAAAGTTACATGTATTTAAAACTGTGATGGGGCGCCTGGGTGGCTCAGTGGGTTGAGCATCCGACTCTCGGTTTTGGCTCAGGTCATGATCTCAGGGTCCTGAGATCGAGCCCTGCTTCAGGCTCCACACTCAGCAGGGAGTCTGCTTGAGATTCTCTCTCTCCCTCTGCCCATCCCCCTGCTCGTGCTTGCTCTCTCTCTTAAATAAATCTTTAAAGATTTTATTTATTTATTTGACAGAGAGAGACACAGCAAGAGAGGGAACACAAGCAGGGGGAGGGGGAGAGGGAGAAGCAGGCTTCCTGCAGAGCAGGGAGCCCGATGCGGGACTCGATCCCGGGACTCCAGGATCATGACCTGAGCCGAAGGCAGTCGCTTAACCGACTGAGCCACCCAGGCGCCCACTTAAATAAATCTTTAAAAAAAAAACAAAACATGATTTGACAACCACTTTTTTTTTTTTTAACATAAAGTAAGGTGACTACTGCGAAAATTTTGTGCTAGAATAAAATCAAGTTTTGCCTTCACCCATCTTTCAATCACACACCAACAGCTTCGACTAGGCAAAAGAGCCTAACATCAAAGCACATTTTGATTCACTCTAAAACACATCTTTTCCAATTCCTTCTGCTCTACCGAGATTTATGTACAAAAGCTGGAGGCTGCTAGCCTCCAACCTTCAATAGAGGCACTTGGAATACAGTGAAGCGGACTGTTCAGCTGCTTAAAGTGGATCCCATGAGCCTGCCTCCTGGAGGCATTTGGGGCTTTACATACTTGAAAATGAATAGAATGGGTCAGTCAAAGGACACACTTGAGGTCTGCATGTGATAGAAGCTGGGAGTTGGGGGTGGGGGGACGAGTAAGAAACAGAATGGACTAGAGGGACACAGTAAACCTTACTTTAAAGGTCTGACAGCAATTACTGAAAGATACTTGCACCAGGACACATGCTACCATGCTATTTAAATAGTGGCAACATCAATTTATTTATTCACTATTTTTCTAAAACCATATACCAGTAACTGTATGCTTCCTAACCACTCACTATTCACATTTACTTTGAAAAACCACCTGTGCTTAAAACTCAAGAGCTAGCGTAACTAAGACTTTTTCTAAAACATTAGGGTTCTTTTAACAGAAATAACAACCATCTGTCATTACTTTTTGGCCCTTCACAAGCTATGATAACTAATATTTTCAATGCTTAACGCCTGCTTTTATTTGCCTAACCTATGTAGCTATCAAAGAACTGAGATCGTCACTATTTTATTGGAAACTCACAAACAACCTTGTCAACACATAATATAATTTCCATTTTATAGGAAGGAAACAGACAGTAGCCACATCACAAATAAATAGAAACACACATGTGTGCATTGTTTTAGGCGTGTTTATTTAATGATTAAGGGGGTGACGATGTCATTTGAAATACATTTCATTCCTTCTAGATCAAATCCATCGGAACAAATCCAGAGCTATCCAACTTCCATACATTCAACACAAGAATGTGTTCATGATTGCCTCAGTAAATCCTGAACTTCATCAATTATAATCTCAAGCCATTTTTTTTTAGATTTTATTAATTTATTCATCAGAGAGAGAGGAGAGAGAGCGTGCATAAGCAGGGGAAGTGGCAGGCAGAGGGAGAAGCAGGCTCCCTGCTGAGCAAGGAGCCAGACACGGGACTCCATCCAGGACCCTGGGATCATAACCTGAGCCGAAGGCAGATGTTTAACGGACTGAGCCACCCAGGTGTCCCTCTCAAGACATTTCTAACACATCCCAAGAGAGCAACTAAATGACCAAAAATTTTTCAGAACACAAAGATACCTTGGCAATTATATAAAAACTAAAGGACTCTATATTAAAACTAAAGGACTCTAGTCTTTACAGGTATTGCTAGGAAAATTACACATCTCAACATTTTCATTTCTTGAGAGTTGCCACCGCTCGAGGCATGCAAATTTCAGCAAATTTGACAAGAAAAAAAAAGTCATAAAAATTCTTCTATCCTGTGAAGCAATAGCAACCCAGAAGTGGCTCATTTTCAAATACTATCCATCAGTAATAGCCTTCTCTCACAACAGACAACCGTAACAAATTTAGCTGCCTTCAGTATTGGTCCAGATAGAGCTAAGGCACCAGAGGTGTCCATCTCCTACAGACTCAAGTAAGGCTCACCATTTTTTTCAGCTGGAGTTAAATGAAAGAAAATGTAATTCATATTTCCAGAAGGAAAAGTGGCATATTTTCCAGTAAGCTTCTTGTTCTCATTTTACTATTTTAAGAGTTCTGATCACTCCCAGCATTGCTGTGTGGCAAGATCTCATTTCTGGTGGCTGATCATTTCCATGGCACGATGCTTTACCAAAACTGTCTCCAGAAGCTGTTTTGATTCGTATTTAGCTTCAGCGTATTTATACACAAAATACCATTTCAATGGCGTCGTGCCAAAAAAGAAATAGCTTGCTCAGATTTCAGTTGACTTTGTTAAAGGAAATTATTTTAAATTAATGTGGCTATTGAACTGCTGCCATCCTTAACCTCAGAAAATATATTCCTTCTAATTTTTGCTGTGAACGTTTATTTATTTAAGTTAAATTCCAGCTCATGAATGTTGACCATAAGGAGTCTAAACCTTCCTGCTACTATTTCATATTCTTCTTCTAAACAAGGGCAGGCACATACTGGCCACATTAGTATGCAGAGCCAGATCACCACCATTAAGTGAAATCATCTATGTATTTTTGGTAGAATCTTTAACAACTTCCACCCCCGTCAGGGAAATGGAACAAGGCTGTTTTGTTTTCAGACAGCAACAATTTGATCTCTGGTTTACTAGATGGCGCTCAAAATATTTTTCCATATGTTTTTCCGCAAAGAGAATCTGACATCAGCGTGGTTTACCTTTACCAGTGAATGCAGGCTTTTTTCACCAAACATATCCCAGAGGAAGGTTAGGTCTTCCTGGCTATCCACATGTGGCTGCAGCTGGGCTGGCAAAGCAGTCAACAGCTCATACAGACCTATAAAATGAAAATAAAACACAAAGTGTAATCTTAGAGTGATCTCATTAATTTCGCGTCAGGTGTGTGTAAATGACAGCTGCAACATGTCCTTTATACGGGATCTGTTTTCTGGGCCATCAAGACAAACCCTTCTCCCAAGAAGCCAACGAACCTTTTTGATTTTTAAATCCCAACTAAGTATGTATTAACAGGCTAGTTTTTACCTTTTGGTTGTCAACATTCTACAGGCATCCAAATTTACATAACCTGAGACAGAAAATGTGTACAAGCTTTCAGAGAAAGAAGAAAACGCATACATTCCTTTCCTTAATCGTTATTACATTTCCCTCGATGTTCGCCAAAGAGTAAAATGAGTCATGAATAGGAAAAACCTCCTTAGAAGAGCAGAAAATTGATAGAGTGGTCCATTAAAAAAGGTTTTGTGGTTTCCAAATAGTTCCTAATAATATATAGCTTCAAAAACACTTGCATTATCTAACATCCAAAATCAAGTTCTAAAAAGTAAGACGGATTAAACCATCCTTGGTGTTGCTTCACTGTAGTCGCCTGGTTTTAAAACAACAACAACAAGCTACACAGAACTGAGTTTCAACTGGACTCTACTCTGGGCATATGTGATACTCTCTGAAAGAGTTAAGGACTCGGAGCCCTCCTCACTAGAAGCTTCCCTGGGGTAGACAGTAGCGCCATGTTCCACAGCAGCCGACTGCAGAAACCATCCATCTCCTTCAGGAGCCGTCAGACTCCCGTCCAAGAAAAGTTGCGACAGCGCCTGCCCAGGACTCTTCAGGGAGGTGACCTGGCAGGAGTCGGTATCAACTCTTAGCCCATGTTTCACTTTCCAGGGGGGATTACATGAGGTAAAAAGGACAAAATTCCTTTTATTTCTGTCTGGTGTCTACAAAAACACCGAGACGTCCTGGGATCTACAACACACGGGGCTGTTGTTATTCCTACGCTGAGTAAGTGCAGTTGTTCATCAGAGGGACAGCTTTACAAGATACGTAACTAGCAAAGAATTGCAAATTATGGCCTGCTGATTAGTGTATCTATTATCTTCCGAAAGCATTATAACATTCTGATAATTAGTGATAATTCACAACCAAATGTATTAGCTCTCGCTTGGAAAGTTGGATCTGTAACTTGAGAGGTTAAACTCAAACATTACTGGGACTGCATTTGGCCAAAAAGATCTATAATATTCTAGGAACAAAAAAAAAACTTCTCCCTATTACGTTCTTAAGTATTCTTGATGGTTTATATTTACTCCCTTAAAAACCTGGCATCTTGCCTAAGCTAGCTCTTATTTATAAATTTGTAAAAACATTTTTTTATTAACATATAATGTATTATTTGTTTCAGGGGTACAGGTCTGTGATTCATCAGTCTTACACAATTCACAGCGCTCACCATAGCACATACCCTCCCCAATGTCTATCACCCAGCTGCCCTATCCCTCCTACCCCCACCACTCCAGCAATCCTCAGTTTGTTTCCTGAGATTAAGAGTCTCTTATTGTTTGTCTCCCCCTCCAGTTTCGTCTTGTTTCATTTTTCCCTCCGTTCCCCTATGATCCTGTCTTGTTTCTCAAATTCCTCATATCAGTGAGATCATAAGATAATTGTCTTTCTCTGACTGACTTATTTCACTTAGCATAATACCCTCTAATTCCATCCACATCGTTGCAAATGACAAGGTTTCATTTTCTGATGGCTGCATAATGTTCCACTGTATATATATATAAAAACATTTTTAAGGTGTCCAAACCTAATTCAATGTATAATAATACAGGTCTCACTTTACACATATACATATACACACACATTTAAAGTAATGACAATTGCCAACATCTGTGGTTAAGGTCAGAGGTTCAAGTTGAAAATTATGTAAAAAGAAGGTAGAGTTTCACTATTTTATATTGACTTCAGGAGCAGTAAAAATAATTCCTTATTCCTTGGTAATATGATTAGTTTAATTAATGATACTAATTTGACTATACTTTATAAGGTATAGTTGTTGGGGAGGGGGTTAAATGAGGTAATATATTAGAACAGCCCCTGGCACATGGTAGTCTGTTTCAGATGTAACGCAGTGAGCTTCAGCCATTGTTGTTATTATTACTGTTATTCATCATTACCATTCTTTGTTTAAAGATTTATTTATTCATTTTAGAAAGGGGGAGGTAGGCGCAGAGGGAGAAAGAGTCTTAGGCAGACTCCCTGCTGATCATGGAGCCTGATGTGGGGCTCGATCTCACGACCCCGAGATCATGACCTGAGCCAAAACCAAGAGTTGGATGCTCAACCAACCACACCACCCAGGCACTCCCATCACTATTATTATTAAAAAAGCAAAAGCCTTAGTCAAACAGACCTAGATTCAAACCAGGTCTATACTTCAGTTATTTCACATAACTTAACCTCAGCTTTGTTGCCCTCATCTGTTGGAAAAGAAATGGTAATCTGCACATGTAATAAAATTGAACAGAAAAAAATGTACAAACATGTACGTATACACAAAGAAGTGCATGTGATACAGGGGAAATCTGAGAAAGGGTAATGGACTGCATCAGTGACAATGTGCCCCTTGCAATTACTATGGTTATGCAAGATGTTACCATTGGAGGAAGCAGGGTCAAGGGTACACAGGATCTACATTATTTCTTTGAACACGGGAATCCACAATTATCTCAAAATACAGTTAAAACCAAAGGAAACATTGTGGTAAATGTGACTGTTGTAAGAATTCAAGAGAACAATGCACATAGCAGCACTGAGCCCTGTGGCTGGCACACAGGCATTTGATAAATAAATAAATATATATACACACACACACATAAATATGTTCTTCTTTTCTTGATATGCCTCATCTGGAATGAAAACCCCATTGCAATGGTACAAAGTCAAAACAACAGCTTAGCGATACATTCCCCTGGACCCAATACCATACTCAGAAAGAAAACCACCCTAGTCTTCTACATATGGAAAGTGTAAACTTTACCCAAGTACTGCTTAACTTTTTTGTGGGAATAAATCATATTATCTTACATTACAGTAATAATTTCTCTGTTAGCAGTAGCTCATAAACCTGAGTTTTCTGGGTTTCCTAGCCTTATACAATCGTAATTCATATGCCCCCCTAGCTTGGCACCCTCATGACGACAGCAGTCACTTCTCTTGAGCTCCCACATCTCGTAGCCCCACCAAAGCCAGAAGAGACAGGACAGTGCCAATCAGAAATGAAAGAAGCTGAGAAGAGTGAGGAGGGCGGGCGAGTGGCCTCAGTGCAGGTAACATGGCCCACCACATCCACTCAAGTGCGTCAGAGAGACCCCAGAAACCAGCTCAGTCCATGGCTAAAACCAGGTCCCTGTTCTCACAGGAGCTTTTTATATTCAGTTCCTAGAGTTCCAATAGTGAACACCACTATGAAATCCAAATGGTTTGGGTCCTTGATATTCAGAGAGCAAGTAACAGAGTTTAGCTAACAAGGGTTATCTTGGACAATCTTACCTACATCTACCTATATCTATTGAATCTTACCTAAATCTGAGCAAGAACTGGGACTACACTCCTCTGTAGTCATTCAAGCTCACGAGTGCTTCATTCCAGTGCACCATTATGGTACCTGCCTAGAGGACTAAGACAAATCAGCCACGATCCCTGTCCTCAGGACGTCACAGTGTAGAGAACAAGCACAGACAGGTCAGTTAGGAAGTGCAGAGCAGGATTAGACTGCGTGGCAAGGCAAGGTAAGTGGTCAATTCTTCTAAAGGAGGGAGAAGACATCAGGGAAGGCTTCAGCAAAGAATCACACCCGAGTTACATCTTGAAAGCTTCCACTCCTAAGAATCAGCATTTATGAGTTCTTCCATTCAGAGCACTACATTAGTTCCTCTATACAGGTAGGTGGAGAATATGCCACCACCTCTACCCCAGAGATCTTACATCTTGGATAACACAGAATACATATCATATATGCTCAAAGAGAAAGCAATCCTAAATGATCTCCTATTTGGGGCGACTGCGTGGCACAGTCAGTTAAATGGTTGACTCTTGGTTTCAGTTCAGGTCGTGATCTAGGGGTCATGAGAACCGGCCCCGCATCAGGCTCTGTGCTCAGCGTGGAGTCGGCTTGAGATTCTCTCTCCCTTCCCCCTCCCCCCCACCGCTCTTGTGCACACATGCTCACTCTCTCTCTCTAAATAAGTCTTAAAAAAAAAATAATAATGATCTCCTATTTGTCCAAGTAAAGATTCAAAATGTATATTCCTCCAAGTAAAATAAACAGATGTTTAGGCTGTGGATAAAATATTCAAACAGCAAATTAATTTTCACAGATATTGTGAGATGCCCATGCGGCTTATAGTATTTAAATTATAATTTGGTTAGGAACATACACTTTGAATTACCTATTAAGTACAAATATCGTAATTTAGATATTGAGGTTTACCCCACTTGCACATTTCATGCAACCATTTTATTTAAATTCTTCACAATGACTTCTTTATCACAACTACCACTTGTAGAGCTAGAAGAGATCATTTTCACTTCTAGTTATTGGAGATACAACACTTTTTTGAATGCATGGGAGATGCCTTCACTAAGAATCTGGGTAAAGCTGGGTGCTTTTCCACCTGGTCTACACCTCTATGTTTTTATCTCTACACCAAAACCACTTACCTACTCTCTAAGTATCTCTAACACTTGCAGGTCTGTTTTTAACCCCTCTCCAAGAAATATTAACCCGGTTTAAACTTCCTTGTCTCTTTAAAAACAACAACAACAGTTCTGTCAGATGATCTTTCAATGACTCCAAAAACAGGAACTTGGGTTATATGAGAATAATTAGGGCTTCTCCAATCAACACATTTTTATGTAAGTAACAGAGAAAACGGTCTATAAGAACTTTTGTAAGGGCTTGACTTTAAGGCAGCGCTCTCTTCTCTAAGAGATCATTTTAGTAGTAGAAAAGAAATCTCACCTTCTGTTTGGGTA